ACATACATACATACATACATACAGTTGGTGAACAATGTACTAGAATTAAACATTTAATCCTGAATAATTCCTTGATCAGATAATCCATGATGGCAGAAATGTCTTTTAATCCAACTAAATGATTAGCTATTGTTTCTATTCTTCTACATTCATGCAAAAATATATGACAGGTAATAAGAATGTTGGGCATAATAGAGTATTAGTACAATTACAAATGTTAAGATGCTACTGGCTTTGAAAATAACTCAGTAGCAAACTAAATATAAAAGAGAACAATCAGAAAGTAACAAGATTTACCTTATCTAATTCCAGCTTCTCATACAAAATGTCATGTATAGCTTGAAGATTAAAGCTCTCCTCCACTTTTGTAAATGGGCACACAACTAAGTGAATGAAGGTAACAGCAACTATCAGTAGTAGCAGCCATGGTTGCCCTTGGGAAGGTTTCTTCTCAACCATTCTGTATCCAAAATAATTATTAGTTTAGAAAAAAAAATCAGAATGAGAAAAAGCATCTAACATAGAAGGCAGACATTGAGATATAGCAAAACTAAGATCAGACCTGGATAAGCACAAACATTTTACCTTTCACTAAATGCTTTGATTTATTTCCTGAAGCTTAATGAAGCTAGATTTAACTGTAGTAGCTCCCTGGCTGCTTTTTCCAATTACACAGCTCTGCTGAAGGACAGAATAGCAATCTAGAATTGGTCTGGGTCTTCAAACTACTTTACTTTCCCATTGCTAATACTAATCAATTACATTTGCAAAAAAAGGGACTGAAAAAGGCAGAAAGGCATTCAACCATCATATATACCACCCTATTCTTTCAGAAAACATGTTTTGAGATGAAAGTATTCCCCTTTGATGTTTATAAAGTAGGCACTGTTTTGGAGCTCCCGTTTCTCCAAGGTTTACCAAGTGCAGAAGCAGTCAGAGGTCAAATCTTGGAAGCACGCTGAAATTTCCCAGTTTCAGAAAACTTAAAATCAGAACATTCTGATTTGCCATAGATCTATTTTTTCATATTCGTATTTTGTACCAGAGAGACTTAGGGAGAAGGGGTTGAAGCAGCAGAAACTTTGGAGAAGAATAATCATGTCATATCAGAATTCAATACAAACACAAACAATAGAACAAAATCGAAGCAGTGTCTTAGACATTAAAAAAGACGATTTTAACTGACTTAGATAGATCTTGGGAAGGATTCCACGGATGAAAATCTTAAAGGGGGAAAACTCCCTTTCATTGTTTGAGAACAATGAAAAATGTGATCAAAGTTCAGTCCACCACAATACCATTGAAAAAGAAAAATAAGAAATCCAAGAAGAAACCAGCATGGTTGCATAAGGAACTCTCTGATAATCTGAAAGACTAAAGGGTGAATATAAAAAGTGGAAAGAGGGACACATAACTAAGGCAGAAAATACCAGCATATGGCCCAAACCTGCAAAGATGAAGTCAGGGAAAAAAAAGGCTCAGAATGAACTAAGACTTGCAACAAATGTCAACATTTTTTTTCAACATATAAAAAACAAATGAAAAAGTCAAGGAAACAATTGGTCCACTAATGGGAGAAGATGCAAGGAAGTGATGAACAGCAGGGAGAAAGCAGAGCTGCTTAATTCATTTTTTGCATCTATCTTCACACACACAACAGCACAACTGACCAAAAACAGAACTGTAATAGACTAGGAATACAAATTTAAATAGGCAAGAAAATGGTAACATCTGTTCAAATCATTCAGGACCAGATGGATTACATTCCAGAGTTCTGAAGGACTTAGCAGACGTGATCTCAGAACCACTGAACTATCTTTCAAAGATCCTGGAGCACCTGGGAACTACCAGAGGACTGGGAAAGAGCTGATGTGGTTCCCACCTTCAAGAAAGGGGAAAGAATGGATCCAAGAAACTACAGGCCAACCAGCCTGACATCAATACCTGGGAAGATCCTAGAAAAGATAATCAAGTAATAGACCTGCAAATACCTATAAGCAAGCAAAGTTATAACCAGAAGCCAACATGGCTTTGTCAAAAACAGATCATGTCAAATAAATCTTATTTCACTTTGACAAAGTGACTAAATTAGTGGACCAGCTAAATGCTGTGGACATAATGTAATTGGATTTCAGTAAGGCATTTGATAAAAGTAGACCACAACCTACTTCTTAGTTAAGTTAGAAAAATGTGGGATAGACAATACTACCTCCAGATGGATTTGTAACTGGCTGATAAGCTATACTCAATGTGTAGTACTTGATGGAACTACATTTACATGGAGCGCAGTAAGCAGTGGGGAACCCCAAGGTTGTGTCTTAGACCAAATATTCTTCAATATTTTCTTAATTGTTTTAGATGAGGGAATAGAAGGGAAACTCGTCCAATTTGCAGGCAACATCAGATTGGCAGGAATAGCCAACACCACAGAAGATAGGCTCGATATCCAGAAGGATCTCAACAGAATTGAACAGAATTGAGCTATCTAACAAAATGTAATTCAATGGTGAGAAAAGCAAGATTTTTACATTTAGGCAAGAAAAATCAAATGAGTGGGTATAGAATAGGTCGTACCTGGCTCAATTGCAAGAGAGATCTTGGGAGTGCTAGTGGACAATCAAATATGAGCCAGTAGAGTGCTGCAGCCGCCAAAAAAGCCAATGCCATTCTAGGCTGCATTAACAGAGGGATAGAATAAAAATCACACAAAGTGTTAGTATTGCTTTATAATGCCTTGGCAAGACCACACTTGGAATATTGCATCGTTTTGTTCAATACAAAAAAAGGATGTTGAGGCTCTGAAAAGAGTGCAGAGAAAAGGGCAACAAAGATAATCGGGGCTGAAGGCTAAAACATATGAAGAATGGTTACAGGAATTGGATATGACTATTCTAGTGAAAACAAGAAGTAGGGCAGAGGTGGCATTCAGCAGGTTCTGACCAGTTCTGGAGAACCGGTAGCGGAAATTTTGAGTAGTTCGGAGAACCGTCAAATGCCACCTCTGACTGGAGATTTTACAGTATCCTTCCCCTGCCACGCCCACCAAGCCACGCCCACAGAACATATGGCTTGGGACCAGGTTCTCTGAAGAGCTGTCTTCTCACGGTTACATCCACCTGTCCCACCAGAGCGGAAGCCAGGGAATGTTGTGGGTCCCTTCTACCAAGGAGATATATCTGGTAGGACCCAGAAGACAGGCCTTCTCCATGGTGGCTTCCTTCAGAGGTGGTATTCAGCAGGTTCTGACCAGTTCTGGAGAACCGGTAGCAGAAATTTTGAGTAATTTGGAGAACCGGTAAATATACCACCTCTGACTGGAGATTTTACAGTATCCTTCCCCCACCAAGCCATGCCCGTAGAACCGGTAGTAAAAAAAAAAATTGAATCCCACCACTGAAGTAGGGGTAACATGATAGTAGTGTTCGAATATTTGAGTGGCTGCCTCAAAGAAGGGGGGGGGGTATTTTCCAAAGTACCAGAAGGCAGAAGAAGCAGCAATGGTGGAAAACTAAACAAGGAGAGAACCAATCTAGAACGAAAGGGAAATTTCCTGACAGTGAGGAAAAATTAACAAAATGGAACAGGTTGTCTTCAGAAGTTGTGGATGCTCCGTCACTGGAGGTTTTTAAGAAGAGACTGGACAACCATTTGTCTAGAAATGCTCGTGGAAGGGTTTGGACTACAAGGTCTCCAAAGTCCCTTCCACTGTTATTGTTATAGCAGTGGCAGCTAACCTTTTTGGGCTCCTGTGCCAAAAATTGTGCACGCACCAAGCACGCACACACTCATGTGCCAGCACCCAGAATGCAATGCGCGCACCCCTCCCCACACCCTCTGTGCATGCGCGTGCAATTTCCCCACCCTCAGCCCCTTACCTGCACTGCACTCAAAGCTGATTTTTTTCCGGTTGGTTTTGAGGCCTTTTTCAGCCTCCCAGAGGCTGCAAGGCTTTTCAGGAAGAATAATAGGCCCGTTTCGTCACTTCCGGTATTATAGCCTCTGGGAGGCTGAAAAAGGCCTCAAACCAACTGGAAAAAAAAATTAGCTGTGAGGCGCGCGCATGCGCAGTGAGGTAAGTTTGTCTGCGGCTTGCTTGCCAGCACAAATGGCTCTGCGTGCCCCTTGTGGCACGCGTGCCATAGGTTCGCCATCCCGGTGTTATAGTATTCTGTTATTTGAGATAGATGTTAGGAACAAAAATCACTGGTTGGAAATCAATGCTATTTATCTGATGCGAAATTGCTGTAGTCGGTGGAACACAACGGGGATGGCAGCAATTCCATAAAGCCTGCACAGCACAACCTTAAAATATTTTCTATGTACACTCCCCTTGGAGATAATTCAGAAGCTACAGCTGGTCC